CAAGCCGACGAAGATTGTTGGTGGGCCAGCTGGTTCCAAGAGTGGTGGTGGTTCTCAAAAGAAGCCTTATGATAAGCCCCAAATCACAACAAGGGGGTTCTGTCACAAGGAAACCTATTGACACAACTAGGAGTAGGTGTCAGAGTGGAGTTGCTAATCTCAGATATTATAGATGTGGTGGACCTCACTTTATTCGTGAATGCCCTCATACCGAGAGCAAGTGCTTTAGGTGTGGCCAGATGGGTCACATGTCGACTAGTTGTCTTGCAGGTGGTTTAATAACTCCTAACAGAAATTAGAAAGTTCATTAGTCACAAGGCTTAATAATTAAAAATAACAATTATAAATTTATATAAATCTTGCATTCTAGTTATTTAGAAAAGTATAAATTTTTTGACAATCATCATCCATGTTATCTTCATTCTTATTAATGGCATTAGCATCTCCCATCACTCCAACTCTAATTCATCCTCTTTAATAGGAGGAACATCCAAATTGTCCATAAGTGTACCACTACCACCACTTGTTCTAATATCTTGTCCAACTTCAAGTATGTCTTCATTCAAGGAATTCAAATATGAAATTTGATTATTTTCCGCACAATCCAATCATCATCGGAAGAAAGGCCTTCAAACCATAGTTTTTTCTTTACTATCTCGCTTCTTGTTCAATTTGAAATTTTCCATGACATAAACTACATCATTCATGGTTTTTGCAACAAATGATTCCTTTTCATGGTATGGACTTAAATGAAAAATCAATTATTATATAATAGGAAAAAGAAAATGAAATACATTATACATATATGGATATACCATTTTAGATATGAATTTTCACCCTTTTAAAAATACTCCAGTTGCGCTCGTAGTCAGATGAACTACATGTCAAACTCAAAACTCGAATTGCAAATTATTGCAAACTCCCACCAATTTGTTGGACTTTTGGTTTTAAGAGTAGTTGAGCTATAGGATGACCAAAAAGGTCTTTTTCTTTCTTGAAATCCTCAAGTTGGTCATCAATTTTTCCTATTATTTCTAAGTCTTCAACAATCTTTTCCATTGAATCAATGAATCCTTTCTTAACTTCCCAATCAACTTTAAAATTAGGGGCATAATGTTATATGGGTTTAAGGTAGTAACATGCAGCATGCAAAGGCCTATGTAATTTTTTATCCCATCTTTGATCAATAATTTCACATAAGGGAATGTAGCTATAGTTGAAAAAAAAAATATTTTTCAACCAAAGTCTAAGTCTATAATTTATAAAATGAAGCACATAGAATAGAAGATAATTACCTATTTTCATCTTCTCTAAAAACATCTTGTATCTTTTCTTTAGCTCGGTCCATTTCTTCATAGATGAACCCCATGACTGGCTTTTCATCTAAATTCACTAAGCGCAACACTTTAATTAAGGGAAAATCACCTCTCATACAATTTAGAACAGTTTTCCAAAATCCCCTTATCTGTAACTAAATCTCCATAAACTTTCCATCCTTGGTCTTTGCTAATTGACTAGAAGTCCATTTTTTAGATGTGAACATTCTAGTTAATAGACCCTTATTCTCATTCAAGCATCCCAAGGTTAAGTAGGAAGTAGCAAAATGAGTCGAGCCAGGTCTAATCAAGTCACTCCCCTTAGTAAATTTATGCAATAAAGCAATAAGACTTGTTCTACCATAGATGTATGATGTGATCCTTCTACCGATTGCAATTGTTTCACTATGAAGTTGTATCTTTTTCTCAAAATCTTCAAGCATTAAGTCAATGCAATGAACTGCACAAGGTGTCCAATACAACTTAGTTCTTTTCTTCATCAACATTTCCCTAGCTGCCTTGTAATTTGCTACATTGACTGTGACAATATGAACAACATTTTCTTCCCCAACCTCTTCAACTACATCATCTAACATCTTGAAAATTTTGTCAGTTGTCTTGCATATATTGGATCATCAATAAACTTCAAAAAAATTGTTCCAGGTGGACTATTTACTAAAAAAAATTAATATAGTCCTCCTCCTCCTATCCATCCATCCATCTGTCATTATTGTGCATCCAAATTTCTTCCAATAAGTTTTATGATCATCTAAAGATAGATTGATCATTTCAACATGATACTTCAAGTATTTCACCCTAACTCATGCTAGGATGGTG